GGGCGCTTATTGGAAGGAGGGCGCTAAATCGAATCATTACGGTAAGTCCAAACTTCGGCTTGGGCAATTTTTCTTAAATAACTTCCCACTTTCAAGAAGTGTTTCTTCGTTCAAAGTTGGCATCTTTCTTTCATCGTTTATTTGATATTTTATCAAGCAAGTAAATATTTCGCTGCCGTTGAAGTAGATGGGAAGAATATAACAGGAAGCGTTGTGGCATGGAATAATCGAACTAGTTCTGCGTACAGTAATGTATCTGATCAGGTATATTCAGGGTGTTAAGTGCGTAGATTGTCAAATAAACCCAAGTCGGACAGGAAATTGGTGCCCACGAATTTCTGTAGAACGTAAGTAAGCGTAGATTCCCAAAAATAAAACCGATTTCAACTCTTTGAACGTGTACGATTTCAGTTGTTAAGTCAGTGTAAAATTTTCAAGTATACACATCTCTTTTTCGCAACATTATGTTTAATTTGCCGGGAGCAGTTAGACAAAAGGAGAGAAGGCAAAGGTGGATAGGGTCATGTCACCGAGGTGACTCGTTCGTGTGCACGAAGGACAGCTACGTTTGTAGTTTACATTTTGTCGGTGAAAATGGTCCAACAGAAGAGGATCCTGATCCCATATCTGCTGTGGCTAGTAAAGAAAGGGTCAGTTAACTCAGTGATTCTTTTATGTCATTGTTTTGTCTTTGGGACCGGTTGCATAGTTGACAAATCTATAACTTCATGAAGATCTGATTGTGCAGAGGGGCTGATACTGGTATGTCCTCCAAAGCATACTCTTCATGAAGTAATGATGTTGCTGCAAGAATAACTTGGCTGCTGAGCTGCAGAACTGATGGTCTGTGAACTACAGCTTTTTAGAGATGAGGAATCTTCATTTTCATCTGTTGAGTCTAATAAAAAAAATAGATGACAACATATCAGTATCACTGTCATGGAAATCTCCGGCTGGGTGACCTTATAATTTATCCATCTTTGTGTGGAGATCAGAACTCTGAAAAATGTTAAAAAATAAAAAATTACAAATTAATTATTTGAAATCATGATTAGAAAAAGGCTACATACCAGGACAAAAAGCAGTGTGAAACTAAGTTATTCATCATGAAAGTGAGAAGCTGCTGAGACAAAAACATCTCAAGCTTGGAACACAAGTTTTAGTCATGAAACTTGGATTGAGAGGCACGTCAACAGCAAAGACACCTTTTTTTGTCCACACGACTAAGATATTCAAGGACAACTTACTCACAAACATTTGAAGCTGAAGTTGGAAGTGGTACTGGGAAGAGGGTTTTAAGGCAAACCCCTTTTCGCTCACAACGCCACCAATTTTAAGGATAAGGAAAGCTTCTTCAGAGCCCATATCTCTGTGTTTTCAGGGGCATTTGCATTCTAAAACTTTGTTTGGACAACCATCAGAGCACTGACATTTTATTAATATTGCCCACACTGGCATCAAGGAAGGCTTTGACTTTGAAATTAGAAAGCCTTTTGAGACCAGTTCCAGTTTGTGGTGGGTATGGCTGGTAACTCGCTGATATGTTCCACGCACTCTCCTCATGAAATAATCCCCACTCTCTTGGATTTTGTGGTTCCTCTTCCTGATTTTGACAACAACTGTGTGGTGACTTGGGTAGCACAATATCTTATATGAACTTTTTGACATCTTTTTCATTTTTTTCAATGGCCTTTTTCCCGGTAAAGACTCTTTTACACTTTGAAGCTATTATGAAACCAGCCTTGTGAATATACCATTCCTCACATTGCCACTGACTTGAGGTGGTGCTCTCTACCTAATCTCTTTCTACATCACTGAAGGATAACAACCTCAACACATCTTTGCTGGAGATGTTGGCACGGCCTTCAACAATCTCTTGTATTTTGGTATTCATGATACCAGTCTTAGCCTTGTTAAAAGGCCCATTGTCCACTTCTGCGTGAGCTTCGGAAGTGTAGTGGAGTTTTTTGATTAGGGGCAAGATAACTGCAGGTGCATCAGTTTTTAACTGGCACACCTTTTTGGTGAATTGACGGACATATTCCTCATCTTTTGGATTCCTGTCTGTCGAAGCGGGAACATCCCTGTCAATATACTGAAGAGAAGTGTGTTTACGTTTTCCTTTTTTGTGAGAGGGTTTTGTAAATTTTTTTGTAATTATAACCAGGTCCTTCACTTTGTATGATTTAGTATTTGCTCTAGGTTTTGTAACCCAGATACATGGGCCACTGGTTACACTATCTTTACCTCGAATGTTTTAACAAATCTTCTAAGGAATAAATGGCAGCTGCAACGTGCTTGCATCCCCCATCTCGATCACCTTTACATTTACATTTAGCTTGAAGGACATTGCCCCGGTTTGCACCTCTGCTCTCAACAATAAATCAGAGATGGTAGTATTCCTTTCCCTCGTCCGTTTTTACTTCCATAAAATTGCGCACATTGGCTACGTATAAATGAATTCCGTCCTGTTTCAAATGAGAAGTTAGTAAAGATTCCACGTAACCGTCATCGAAAAGTCGACTGGATATTCTAATCCTATCGGAGACCTTTTTAACTCAAAAAGTCCCCGATTCCTTCAGTAATATTCACGAATTCCAGCTTCATCGAAAGGATAGAGTTGGAAAGTCCCTTAAGGCAATAAGACGCGGAGACCTCGAAGCAAACTACATTGAAATTTTATGGCTTGAAATCTGCCCCTGTAAATCGAAACGGCCTCCTTTTATTAGCGGTATTTATGGGCTTCCGTCATGTCGGTCAGCAGACGACAAGAAGCTCGGGAAAAACATCGAAAATGTGTATCTTCTCAACAAGGAATTTTTTTTTTAACTCGACTACTTACACAATAAGAAGTTTGGAAAAAACTTATTCATAAAAACACTGATATAAATTACATGTGCAGAAGCTTCGCTGAATTACTAAACACAAACTGAATTTCAGGTCTTATGCCAAGGAAGAAATCAATTTTCTGAGAAGAAAAACTGCTGGCGATGGCACATTGGAAAAAGGTTTCATTTAAACAAATTGAAATCTGTGTTGGCTTTTTAATTTCAATACAACTTTTGAAAATGAAATTTTGTAATAAAGATCTAAACGGTAATAAGACAATTAACGAGTAAATCAAAAGGCCGTCACCCAAAAATAAAGGCCAGAGGGCGCTTTTGACTAATCTCAGAGTTTTTCTTTGAGCCATTTACATGACAAGAGGGACGATACTAGTATACGGTAAACGAGCTGAAAATTTATTACTTTTATCACCTTGAAGAACGGTTGTTTTTTTTCAAGTACTTTGTTGTGCGTTCGGAATGTCTTGAGGTGGCTTTGGTTAACGTTCTAAAAATATGTGTACTCTACCACGGTTGTCCCGCAAGCCCAAACATGCCAGCCGATAAGGTATTTAAGAGCGTGTACTGTGGGGCTGAATTTTAGAGAAGAAAGGGACAGAGATTCCGAGAGTAAAATAAACTATTCCTAATCAGACGCCCGGTGCCTCCTGCTTGCGCCTGTGGTTTAAGCTTGTTTACCCCAACAGTCCAATAGTTTGCATATTCAAAAATGTTACTTTTCCAAAAACGTTTAGCGTTTAAAATTCGGAGGAAGTAAAAAAATAATTTTTGATAACAAGGGCAAAACCGATTGAAACCGGTTTTAGCTGTTTTAAAGCTACATGTTTGAAATAATCGCCCTAACCTTGTGATATCCCTAGTGGAAAACCGCATTGCTGATAAAAAAAAAGATAACTTAAACATTTCTTTCGCAATAAGAGTGTTGTTGTAAACCATTATCAATATTTGGGTTTCACTAGAAGGTTCGTAAAGTGTTCTTAAACTCGCAAATAAAATAATAAATACATAATTAATCGAACGTGGCACCAAAAAGAGATAAATTGAAACAAACAAAAAGCTGAATACGTTTACGCCTAAATTCTGCATTTTATCGGAGATGTTGCCGACTATCTTAGTCGAGCGCTTATCGAACGGGTGAATTTTAAGGCTTTGCTCACCAAAAGGTGATTCGTTACAAGTTTTGAACCTTCGTCAGACGCTCCTGCCACGCACTGGGTAAAAAGGCCAGATGTTAGTGTCATTTAAGTAAAATTAAACAACTATTAAATCCAAAGACAATTGTAAGTCATGCATTCACTTAAACAAAGGTACATTTTAAAGTCATGTTTAAGTTTAGAAAACATGACTTACAATTGTCTTTGGATTTAATAGTTGTTTAATTTTACTTAAATGACACTAACATCTGAAAACATTCTTAAACGCAATTTAAATCGACATTGAGATTTAAGCTATATTTTTTTTAGAACACATGTACAGGCCATTACTTTTTATCAGATATCAGTTAACTTATTTATTTATTTATTTATTATGTATTAATGGAAAACTGAAGTAATTTTTTTGTTGGAACAAATTATTTTCATTTAGATTATAGGGATAGTTTCTTCCAATTATTGTTAAATTTATTGAATAATTATGGGAAAATTTGTTCCTGTAAAGCATAAATAAGCTAGGTATGTGCGACGTTTTAATTACAAATTAGAAGTAACTCTAAGAATGTGTACCAGTGAATTTAAAATAAAAGAAACTTGAAACATATATTGTTTAGTGTGATACGTGACCTGGTGGGTGGCAGTTAGTAATTAAACAACAAAACAATAATATTTTCCTGATTTCACAAATTTGATCCAAAACTAAAACAAAGCAACACATTTTGAGCAGATTAATTTGCATTAAATGGTACTTTGACAACATGCAATGTTTAAGTTCTGTTTACTTCAATTAAACAGTTCTTAAACATACTGGAATGTTTTGGACACATTTAATGTGAACTTAAACCTACATTATGTTTTAGCCTTAAGATAGTTACTTAAATCTAGGTATAAGTGACT